CCCCCGGCGGCTCCTGCAGCCGCACATGGAGGCGGGATTCGCGGGCCCTTGCGCCGCGTCGGTGCTCGGCAGCGGCTGGAATTTAAAATATGCGTTTGAAAATGCACCGATTCTTGCCCGGGAGGGAGAAAACGGAGCACGCGGGATCCCCAGCGGGGCCAGTCCCGTTAGCGGGGTTGGTAATTGCTGCCCGCCCGGGTGGAGTGTCGTTGGGCTAATTGTTGTGTGCGTGGCCTCTTGAGAGGCTCTTAATGTGGAGGGAGAAAAGAAAACGCCTTTTCTCTATAACAATTGCGGCAAAATTAGGTAAGCCTGCACCTTAGAGCAACACTTTTCACTATATATTTGTTTTTAAAGAAGGATTAAGCGTATATATTGCATGCATCAATATTTGCTGCTTGGATGTTTTTAGTGAACTACTATATTTCTCTGTTTCCCTTCTGCACTTTAGCATCTCCTTTTCATGTTTATTACCAGTTGTGAAACGTTTATTGAGTATATGCGTTAGGAAGGCAAATGTGATTTGGAGCATTCCTTATGCTTTTTATTACAGAATTTTTATGGAAGTTGCTCTAAGATTTGCTTGTATAAGGTCAAGTTTTGAAGCTTGCTGGCAGGACAGCTTGCACCAAAGTTGTTCAGCAAATAACAGTAACGTAGGCACAATGGAATGAACTGGGAACATTATTGTTGTCAAAGAAATTAATAGCTTTTTTTTTAATCAGCATTCATTCCTCTTTTGACAGTAAATTATTTTAGGGTCAGAACAGTAAAGGAGGAAGACTTTAAAACCTCTTAAAAATGAAACTCCTGTTCAAGCTTTCATTGTAAGCTTGTGATTAAATGATATTTTTAGAGATAGCTTCATTGGACAACGCTTACTTTGGTTGTTGGAACTGGCTTCTTGTTATCATGTATATAATATAGCCTGCTGATTATGTGCATAGATTTTTTTTTGCCTAGTGTGTGAGGAGGAGAAAATTATACATTCACATGAGTGTTTCATACAGATTGTTGAGTTAAAATATACAGAAAATATATGTAAAGAAGTTAATGTAACTAAAAAATCGCCTCTTCTGAAGGGACAGGAGTTAGGTTAAGCTGTTCTCACCCTGCCACCTCCGTGGAATAGCTAAGGGATTGAATGGGGTGCTCCCTCTTTCTCTTCCCTCCAATAGGTTGTTAAGTGCTGCGTGTTCAATGGAAATGCCTTTGTGTGGCTGATTCCTTCTTGTACCTTTTCTTTGCATGTTACAGTTAATGTTTGCATGTTGCAAAATTGGTTTTAAGAATTTTATGGATTCTTGAAAGAATTCTTGGACCCCTTCTCCCGTTTAGCCTGCTTTGTTAGTATATTTTGAATTGAATTAGCTAATATATGTTATTTGTCAGTTTTCACTTATATTGTGAACTTATGCTAAACTGGATTCAAAATACTGGGGTGTATTTTGAGCATCTTGAGGTTCAAGCTGTTTCAGAAAAGCCTGGTGTGTTCTTGGCAGCAATCTGTTGGATCTTTCCCACCATCCCACAAATATTTTACTACACTGATCCTCTTCAGAGCGCTCCAAAAAGATGGTTGGTCACAGTATCTGGTCATAGGCATCTCTGTTGTTATTATTTAGCTTAGCAGATGTTTCTAACATAGGGAGGAAACATATATATTTGTGATATTTTAGGTCTGAAGATTTGCGCCGTGAGTTTGGTCGTTATGGGCCTATAGTTGATGTATACGTTCCACTTGACTTCTACACTCGTCGTCCCAGAGGATTTGCTTATGTTCAATATCCTTTCTTCAGATGGCTGATTAGTGAGGGGTGTTGAAGTTTGAAATTCAAGTTTGTGTAAGAGGTAACAAATCTAAATGAAAAAGTAGTTTACTTTTGTGTTGTATCTAATAAGTGTCTTTCTTATGTTGTAGACTTTCATTATATTTGAAGATTAACTCCTCTCAGTTGTTCTTTGCCTTTTTGCAAAGCTTAAATCAAGTCCAGTAATATAAAAGCTTGCTTATGTGACTTAAATTAATACTATATAATTTAAATGAAAAATTATCACTGACTCAAAATTTTCTACCATGTTTTTATTATAACTGGTATGTAAGTAAATTGTGCTTAGCAAATTGTGGCTCGTATTCATTGTTAATTTTAAAAAAATTTAAGAAAATGGGAACTGGAATCACTTGATCAAAAGCAGATTGTATAAAAATGAGGTGAAGTTCTTTCTTTAATATTGTCCCCTAATTTACTGTCCTCTGTTGTTGCCTCAGAATGTAAAGCTGTACAGTAATGGCGACCCCAAAGAGAAAGCATGAAAGAACCTTTAGAGTAGAGTTCAACAATTAAGGCAAGTAGACAAGCCAAAGACCTCTTAAGGATCAGGCTTGAAGAGAAGGGAGAGTTTGGGAAAAGAAAAAATAAAGAAAAGCTGGAAGAAGGACAAGCCATAATGGGAGACAAAGCTTCGCTTTATCTACAAAAGGGGGAAAAGGTTGTTTTTCAAAGTAAAAGATAAAGCCATCTGTCATTTTTGGCCAAGCATCTCATGACAAGTCCTTCTGACAAGCACTTAAAGAGTTAAAGGTCAAGATGAAGTTGAATGGTGGCCAAGATTAAAGGAGTCATACCTGATGTATCCTACAGAATAACAGTTCTTCTTCTGTTTGTCATGTAAGCAGTAATTTGATGAATGATTCTGGTTTAGTCCATTGACAAAACCTGTAATATTTCTCTTGTGAGTGCTACTGTAATTGTGATCATGAATTAAAATGCATTCGTTCTTGGTGTCTCAAGGTAAATAATACCTACAACATGGTAGTTTATTTTCTGCATAGATGATGCTGGTGATGGACTGAGTTGCTCTAAGAAAGGCAATTTGTTCTTTCAAGTTCCACATGTGGAATTACAGTAGTGGTCCATCTCGGGCATTAAAATTGGCAAAGATTGTGTTCCTGAACATCTGACTAATAGCGTAATATTTTTAGTCCATGGTTTTATCACAGAAAGGCTGTTGACAGTCTATATATGTGTCCTTGGCATCCCATAATTTAAATATTTAAAATCAGCTGCTGAAGAAGAAAGCCTTATCCCAATTTAAAAAAAAATAGAAATATATAGTGTTTTCCTGTTGGCATGCCTTAAGTATTTTAAGAACTCTGATTTCTTTTTCTTGTAGTGTGAATATAGTGCAGAGAACTGAATTACCATTAATTAACTTATTTGGAAAAAACGCATTTCTTATTTAAGTACAAGTGGGGGAAGAAGAAACTTGGGTGCTGCATAGCAATTGCTTGGTTGTGGATAAGTTCATGGGCATAGCATTAGATTGAATTTTACTACATTATAGCAATCCTCAGATAGTTGGAGCAATAAAAGTTGCTCGCATTTACTGTAGCATGCCCAAAACAAAAAAAGTAAAATGAGAAAATAACTGATTTAAAATAACAGCTTTGTTAATTGCTCAAATTCCCAAGTACCTTAACACTCACCACATTTGAAGATGTCCGTGATGCAGAAGATGCTCTCCATAATTTGGACCGAAAGTGGATTTGT